TAGAAGAAGAGGTGGAAACAAATGTTATAAGCCGAATTCTGGGAAATATTGAGAATTTGACAAATTAAATGGAGGATAATAATTCCCTGGAGGAAGGGCTAGTTGAGTTTCAGATAGAAAGAAGTCAGGAGGAAGAAGGTATAGGTGGGGATGTAGGCCAGGAGGAGAGAAATAGAAAGATTGACAATAGAGAGTTGGGAAGTGAGGAATCCGTGGCAGCATTTGTACAAAAGCTGGGGTGTAAACTGAAAGATCTAAATGATCTGAAAGGATTCCTACAAAAAAAGAGAGAAGAAACAAAGACTAAAAGGAGGAAAATGAGTGAGGTGGAAAGGCTGGTGAAGGATGGGGTGGGAGACAGGAGCATTGGAGCTAGGGGGAAAGGATGAAAGGAAGAAAATAAGGGTAATAGGTGTAAGGGGTGGATAATAAAGAATAATGAGGTTTATTAGCTGGAATGTGAGGGGACTGGGTAGTGCAAGGAAGAGAGCAGTAATAAATGAGTCAATCTGGAAAATAGGCCCAGATGTGGTACTCCCGCAGGAAACTAAAAGAGTAGAGTTTGACATTAAATGGGCTAGGAGTGTGTGGCGAGGTTGGGGGATAAGTTGGGCGATTTTACCTTCATGGGGCTTAGCAGGGGGTGTTGTAACAATGTGGAAGGAGGAAATTGAAGGGCTAGAGGAATTGATAGGACAATTTTCAGTTACTATCAAATTTAGTCAAGTGAAAAACGGATTTGAATGGGTGATAACCAATGTGTATGGGCCAAATGATTACAGAGAAAGGAGGTTACTATGGGAAGAGCTGGCTGACATAAGGGGTTTATGGGATGGGCCGTGGTGCTTAGTAGGTGGATAGGTTCCTATTTTCAAATTGGATAGGTTCCTATTTTCAAATGATCTGGAGGAACATTGGGGGAATCTGAACTCTAGAGCACTTCCAATGGTCACTGATCATTGGCCTATTGTACATTGCAAGGAGGAGGTGAGAAATGCATCTCCTGCTCCATTTAGAGATGAAAACATGTGGTTAGAGCACCCGGGGTTCATTAAGAAAGTAGAAGAGTGGTGGTCTGAAAGTAATTCTGCAGTGGTTTGGTGTTGAATGCGGTTTCATAAAAAGCTCCAATACCGGAAAGGAAGAATCAAGGAATGGAATCTATTAGAGTTCAGGAGATTGGAGGAAAGAAAGCAGAGTGTGTTATCAGAAATTGAAGATCTGGACAACAAAGAAGGGAGAGGCAGCCTAACTGTAGAGGATAAGGAACAAAGAGAGGCAGTTTTCTCAATGGATAGATCAAAGGCTCCGAGCCTAGATGGTTTTACGATGGCTTTTTACCAGGACTGTTGGGAGATACTAAAGGAGGACTTAATGTTGGTATTTGATGAATTCCATACCAGAGGAGTAATCAACCCTGGGTTAAACTCCGCCTTCCTTGCTTTGGTCCCCAAGAAAAGTGATGCAAATACTCCAGAGGATTACATGCCGATCAGTCTAGTAAATAGCCTTTACAAGATCATCACTAAGGTGCTTCCAACTATCATAGCTAGCAATCAAGGAGCGTTTGTGAAGGGGAGGCAAATAACAGATTAGATACTGGTAGCAAATGAGCGTTTGTGTAGTCTCTAATTGGCCATTAAATTACCTTGGTCTTCCTTTGGGGGATAATCCTCAGAAAGGTGATTTTTGGGCCCCTATTGTGGAGAGATTTGAAAAGAGACTTGCTAACTGGAAGAAAAACTATTTCTCTTGGAGGGAGAATCACTTTAATAAGGTCTACTTTGGCTAACCTTCATGTTTATTTTTTGTCAGTTTTTAAGATTCCGGCTAAGGTGGCTAGTAGACTGGAAAAACTAATGAGAGACTTTCTTTGGGAGCCGAGGGAGGAGAAGAAGGATCATAGGGTTAGGTGGGAGATAGTATGTAGGGGCAAAAAGGAGGGAGGTTTGGGGATTGGGAACATTAGAACTAGGAACTTAGCATTACTAGGGAAATGGCTGTGGAGGTTCTCGGTGGAGAAAGAAAGATTGTGGGTTAAGATAGTGGGAAATATACATGGGTTGGCATACAATGGATGGGATTCTGGGATTCTAGCTAGGGCTACAACAACTTCTCCTTGGAAAGCTATTCAAGCCATTTTTGCCCTTGTTCTCTCCATGGATTAGGTATGATTTGCACTCAAGTAACCTCATTAAGTTTTGGGAACATGTCTGGGTTGGGGACTCCTCATTGAAAGATCAATTTCCAAGCCTTTATGCTATCTCTACCTTTAAAAATGAACCAGTTTACTCTTTCTTGTTCCTTCTAATTCACCTTCTGGGTTTGGATGGAATTTGAGTATGAGAAGAGATGTCAGGGACATAGAGTTAGCCTGTACTTTAGCCTTTCCATTCTTGAAGGGGTCTTTATTGAGCTAGTAAAGCCAGATAGCAGAATGTGGACACTCACTCCCTCGGGTTCTTACACTTGTGCCTCCTTCTTTAGAGCACTGTTACCCTCTCCTCCGGTTGGTTTGTGTTTTCCTATCAAAGATGTATGGTGTCGACCTATACCTCCAAAGGTTGGGAGCTTCTGTTGGGAAGCCTTTCTGGAAAGAGTTAATACATGGGATCTACTCCAAAGAAAAAGACCCAACAGTTGTTTGTCTCCTCACTGGTGTGTTCTCTGTAAATTTGATGGTGAGTCTGGATACCATTTACTAATTTCTTGTCGGTTTGTTAAGGTTGCTTGGGAATGGTTTACTTCTTTGTTTGGGTGCAGGTGGACGACTCCTTTGAATGTGCAAAGCTTATTTACTTGCATGCCCAACTGGCCAACCAAAAGGGCCAAGATCATGTGGAGATGTGGTAGGGCTGCGATATGTTGGACTGTTTGGGAGGAGAGAAACTCAAGGATATTCTCAGATAAGGAGAGAAGTATGGATGAAATCCTTGAGACAATCCACATCAGGATGATACGTTGGCTGAGAACATCGGAATTGTTTAAAGTGTTCTCAGTTGATGAGATGATAAGGAGCTGGAAGGAGATTGCAGAAACAGGCTCAAACGGGAAGAACATAAACTTTTGCTGGACACCTCCACCTCATGGGTTCACCAAACTGAATTTCGATGGTAGCAGCATAGGCAATCCAGGGCCTTCTGGAATATGGGGAGTAATAAGGGATGAAGCAGGAAATTTGTTGGCTATGTACTCTGGTTCAATTGGGGTAGGAGACTCTTTGAGGGATGAGATTCTAGGAGGTATTGAAGGGATACAAAGGGCCAAAGAATTGAATATTAAAAAGCTGATTATAGAAGGTGATTCTGAAATTGTGGTGAATTGGCTAATAGAGGACAGCTCTATGCTCTGGAAATACAGCAATGAAAAGGGGAATTTCAAGTGGCTCGCCAAGGACATGGAAATACATTGTACATGGATAAAGAGAATTGCAAGTGCATTGGCAGATGGTTTAGCTAAACAAGGGGTAAATAGGAATACTATGTTCTGGGCTGTTTTGTAATTGTAATTGTAATTGCTTCATGGTCAGAATGTACCTTGGGTAGTTGGGAGTTAAGACTTCTTAGCTCCCTCCTTTGTAATTCTGATTATCTAAATCCTTATTAATAAAAGTTCATTGTTATTGATAAAAAAAAACAATTCTCACCGTGAGCTCTATAGAGGATACACCAATTGGGAGAAATACAGAGGAAAGGGTTGTTGAGCAGAATGTTGAGAGATGGACCTGAAGAAAGAAGCACAAGTAAAGGTTCCTTTGGGTCTAGGGGTCCACATCCTTTTATCTGGCTTGGAGGGATCCAAGCAAACCTGATTAAGGCAACATAGCAAGTCATAGAGAGATTCAATTTTATCATCCCTTAGTCCCCTACGAAACCCAAAATCCCAATTAGGAGCCAAGGGTGTTCCCAGTGATGAGACAAATTTTGAGACCACTAAAATGAACTTAATCCAAAAAGTTACTACAAATGATAAACCAGGAGTTTACTAAAAGAGTAATTGCGATAATTACTAAAAATAGCAAGTCTGAAAGTTACAATAAATAGTAGTTTTGTAATAATGGTAAATTTCTGGAAAACTTAAAAGCCCATTCCTAGGAATTCTACAACTTTAAAAATTGCATCTTTAGTAGACTTCACTTTAACTTTAAACCAATTCTTTTCCCATATATTAATTTCCTTTAGGCTCAGTTTGGGAAGAGTACAATTACAAATATTCACAGTACAAATACGTACAAAATACAAAGTTTTGCACTCCACATATTTGTATTTGTACTCTTTCCAAACTGAGTCTCAAGAAAAAATGAGACTAAAAGGCTTTTTCAGACCATTTCTTCGTTCTCTTCAGATCTGTTAGCTGCTTTCTGCTTTCTGGCTGTAATACCCTGAAATTCACAAATTTTCTTAACAGTTTCCTTTGTCAATTATAACCGTTATTTGGGCCTTGGAGTCCATAACTCTTGGTGTCAATTATTTCTTCTGTAATTTGAGCTCTCATAATGGCTTGTAAATTTAACCTGTATTATTAACTGAGTGGGTTCTATTAAATGAGACACAATGGATTTGGAATTGATTATCCAATATCCACATTTTGGACTCTAGTGTATTGTATATGCTCTGCATTTTTCATTTTAATAAAGCTAGTTATTATGAACATTCCAAAAAAAAAATCAGCTTCTAAAAATATGTCAGGAATCTGCACTCTATGTCCAGAATATTTTAGGTATGTTTGGAAGAATTCTATTCTGTAGTTTCCCTCCTCTAATAACACCTGATTTCTCTTTTTTCTTCCTAGCTTCCCCTTCTACTCCCAATTCTTTTTCTTTGCGTCATTGTCACCTCTTAGTTCTTTTTCCATGTAAGGTTTTGTATTGTTCTATACTAATGAATATGTGGTAGTCTGCTGATACTTTTACTGCCAAGTTTGATGATGTAATTCTCGAACATTTGATGCAATTAACAATAAAAAAAAACATTTGAACCTGTTTATGCTCTCAATTGCAGGTTCAATATCGAATGCATCCATCACTATCAGAATTTCCGTCTAACAGCTTTTATGAGGGTACACTTCAAAATGGAGTGACCATCAATGAAAGGCAATCGTCAGGGATTGATTTTCCTTGGCCTGTTCCAAATCGTCCCATGTTCTTTTATGTTCAGGTATTACAATCTTGAGTTTTTATTAAAATTTTAGTCACTGATTTTTGTGTTCATCAATGTATATAATTTGCTGCCTTAGTTTTGGATTTTTTTTTTTTTTATTTTAAAATTGATACAGTTCCTTTCATCAGATGGGACAAGAGGAGATAAGTGCAAGTGGGACTTCTTATTTAAATAGGACTGAGGCTGCAAATGTTGAAAAAATTGTAACTACTTTCTTAAGGAGTGGTGTTGTTCCTAGTCAGGTACTTTTTCATATATTGACCATCTATCATTCCTCTTAACCATCTGAATTTCTTTGGATTTATTTCATTAATTTTAAATTCATTTCTGTTCAACATTTATAGATTGGAGTTATAACACCATACGAAGGGCAACGGGCCTACATAGTGAACTATATGTCAAGAAATGGTGCTCTCAGGCAGCAACTTTACAAGGAAATTGAGGTTTGATCCGTAACTGATATATGTATCTACTATATATATTAGTGCGGATGTAGAGTGAAAATTTTGTTTGGACTAAAATTACCTTCTATTTTTTTGTTTGAGAAAGGGTATGGAAGTCATTTTATTACAACTTTTATGCCAGCTTTAATGGTTACTAAAATGCCCATTTTTGTGTATTTAGTCCATCTTTAATTGTAAGTGTTAAAAATGTAACTTCAATTATTACCTTCCACCTCAGTCCCCTCTCATTAAGTCTTATAATTATAGTATTAACTCCCATTTTCTCTTTTTAAATCCTATATTTAAGTTATTTTTCACTAATAAATGCTACTAATTAGATTTATGTCAATATTTTTAACAATATAAACCCATATATTTTAAAACATACTCAAAAACAAAACCATTCTTTATCCAAGTGATTGCCAACTGTACCTAGGTCAAAACAGGTCTAAGTCTGTCCTGGACTCCTCTCTTCTTGTTTTTGTAAAGCCTTGGGCAATCAGGCATTGGGGGTGTGTTTAGGGACGAGAATGGGACTGTTTTAGCCATGTTCTCAGGCCCAATTGGGCTAGGTAACTCTCTCATGGCTGAGCTCTTGGCAATCTTGGAAGGTGTCCAAATGGCAAAGGAAATGAACATTAGGAGGCTTGTAATTGAAGGGGATTCAGAGGTGGTAGTAGGGTGGTTGAAAGAAGATAAGGCTGTGTTATGGAACTATAGCAATGAAAGGAAAAAATTCCGTACAGTTGGGTGAGGAGATCGGCTAACTCGTTTGCTGATGGGTTAGCTAAGCAAGGGGTGGTTAGGGATCTACATTGTGGGCTCAGTTGCAATTGTAGTTTTATCACTTTGGGGGCTCTTGCTTCTGTTGGGGGGATTAAGACAGTTTATCTCCCTGCCCTTCTAATTAATTATTCTGTTTGATTAATGATTTTTTTTGTTATTAAGAAAAAAATTAAACCATCTTAATCAAATTGATCAGCCTATGAAGTCATAGTTGGGTAAGAAAAATTTTAAAATAGAAATAAATATAGAAAATTATAAAAATGTAGAAAAAACTTGACACATTTATGATATCTTTAATAATCAAATTGAAAAAAAAGTGTAATACACAAGAATTATTTTTATTGATAATGAAAAGGAAATACATAATTTAGAACTGATAAAAAATAAAATTATTTTACTGTTTCACAAAGATCAATAGTTCAACTTTTGGGTCAAATGTGTTAAATGTGTTAACCTTTAATGTCATAAATAAATAATAAAACTTAATAAAATATAAAATGCCAAAATAAAAAATACATAAATTTTGCAAAAAAATTCAGGCACATGTAAAATATCATATTTTTATTATATTAAACAAGAAATAAGTGTGACACCAGAAATATTTTTATTATAGAAAAAGTTGAACACATCTATATTTTTATATTTACACTACTATTAAAAGTATGAATAAGATTGTCGAACATTCTTTTGACTAAAATACTCAATTTTGAATTTAGTCCCTATTTAATTGTATTTATTACTACTATTTTTCACCTCATTCAATTCCTTCTATTTAAATCTTACATTTTTTTGATAAATGAACAAAAAAAGATAAACCAAAAGGATAATATATTACAAAAAGAAAAATCTAGCCAAACAAGTAGGCTTGTCAATGATACTTGAAACTTCACAACTTGATCCGAGTATCACATATTTGGATGAGGTGTTTATGTAATCAGATTTGGACTTCGCAATGTGCATCCGATTAATAATAAAAAATAAAAAATAAAAATAAAAATAAAAATTACATAAAGTTTATAGAAAATTCTGGATACATTACCACTATTATTATTATCATATAGAATTGCCACGTGAAAAGCATGTGCACACTTACTAGTGTGTGTGTGTGTGTGTGTGTATGCATTAGCTATTTACCGCTAGAACATATGTGTTCTTCGCAGGTTGCAAGTGTAGATTCCTTCCAGGGAAGGGAGAAAGATTATATCATTTTGTCTTGTGTGAGAAGTAATGAGCATCAGGTGAGTTCCTTTTTTCTTTCTCTTTTCTTTATGATATTTTGTATGAATGGTTCCTTTGTTTAGTTTTATAATCTCTGAATGCATTCGTCCATTTCATCAAGTTTTAAAGTAATCGTAGAAAGTCCCAATATTATTGTATCTTTATCTAGCTTTTGTTGCTACACAATTTAATACACATTTGATAGAAAGGCTGACTGAAAACATTTTTAATTTGTTAGGAAGATATTGTTATATATGGTATGTTACAGGGCTATTACTAAATGTTGATTCCAGCTATCTTGAGATCTTGGGAGGGGGAATTGATAGAGACCTAACTTATTTTTTCCTTATTGGCACAAAGTGTCTGCCTTAGGAGTCAAACCCACATTATTACCATTACACAAAGTAACTGCCCTTGGATATTGTTATATGTAGTATTTACCCCTTCTAATTTGTTTTGTATCAAGTAGGGTGTCAATTGGATTGGATTTGATCCAATCCAATCAGGTTCAATATGAGTCCATTATAGATGGATCAGGTCCAATTCAATCCAGTGAATTCTCTGGCTTTTGAACCAGTCTAATTCAATGTCTGGACCATCCAGTCTGTTCAAATTGGCTTTAATTTAGATTGGTTCCAGCCCAAACCTGGCTCATTGACACCTGCATTCTTAACTTCTATTAATAGACTGGATATTGGTTCAATCTGACCCAATCCATTACGGGTGGACCACGTCCAATCCAGTCCAATAAATACTTTGGACCATAAAGTCTGGACTGCTCCAATTCAATATGTCTTATTGGTCTATCCAATCCATCCAGATTGATTTTGATTTGGACGGGGTCCAACCCAAAACCGATCCATTGACACCCCTAGTATCAAGGTTCTGGATTCATGGAACGAAACTAAAATTGGATTAAGCATTGGCTAACAAACATTATACTGAACATGCTTTTGGCTTGCAAGAATGCCTTAATGAACTCAACTAAATAAGTGATGGAATTTACGTCAATGTTTTGAATATTGTGAGTCTTAAATCCTAAGATTGTTTAGGAAATATAGAGAAATCTTGTTAATGGACTCAGGCCTTTTTGGTAACGGGATTGTAGTTTGGACTGAATTGTTTTCCTTCCTCCATGGATTTAGATTGACCATTTCTGTGGATTATAAATCAGTTTGGACTGAACCATTTACCCTAGAGTAGTAAATGGTTTCACCCATTTTCAATTCACATCCATCATATAAGTAATTGATTTAACAATTTTTACAACTTGTACATCATATGCACAAAGTATGGTTAAGTTGGCTTTGAAGTCAATTAACAATATATGCATTGATTTTTAATGTGCATTTGATGGAAAAACACTCAAAGATTTAAGATGGAATTATAGTTTTTAGAAATGCTTATTTGTAAAGACCCAAACAATAACTGTATGATTTTTTAATAGGTTCCAGGTGTAAGATTTTTTTCTGAAATCCTTGTTATTTGCACTTTTTTTTGATGGACTCCTTGTGTTTCACACTTGCGTGAAGTATATTGTAAATTGTAAGATTTTAACAACTGTGTTTGATACCTAGCTTCACACTGAATAAAGAGGCCATGCCAGTTTTCTATTGTTTCATACGTTTTATCATTGATATTGTTCTGGTTTCAGTTGCTGATAAAAAGAACTATGCTTGGTATTGGAATTTAATTATATTGATTTGTCTCTTGCAGACATCTGACATAAAACCTGCGTCAATTGTTTTATCATGCCACAATTGTCCAATGTATATGCTTTATTGAATTAAAGATATTTCAATACAGTACCTCATTGAAGAAATTGGGCATGGAATGTTTTCATTTATTAGTCACTCTTTCTTATGGGTCTGGGCATGTAGGACCAGTGTTGTAAAAGGCGTGGGAGGTGTACGCCTCTGAGGCATATGCCTCATGCACTTTTTTCATGAGGCGTACGCCTCATGAACACCTCATATAAAAGACTGAAAAAAAAGAAAAAAGACAAAAAGGAAAAGAAAAGAAAGGGAAGGGAAAGAAAAAGACAGAAGAAAAAAAGAGAAAAGGAAAGGGAAGGGAAGAAAAGATAAGGGGAAAGAAAGTGGTTTGCCCCCGGCCCCTTTGTCTCGCTTGCCTGCGTTTCAACAAGACCCCCCCCTTTCAACTAGTGTTGTGCATCTTTATTCTTCTTAATATAAACGATTTTTATTAAAAATAAAGAAAAAATGAGATCCCCCATTTCTCTTCTTCCTCTTGATCCCCTTCTTCTTAAGGAGGTTTACGCCTCCTTGTGTTTGGGCGGCTTACACCTCTTACGTTCTGAACTAAGCTTCACGCCTCTAGTTAGTGTAATGCCTCGCGTCATGCTTCCGTGTTTTAAAACATTGTGTAGGACATAAAAGCTTGGCACTTGATTATTGGTGAATAGAAAAATCTTGATGGTGTTAGTTACCAAATGCTTGTGTAAATGAGGATTTCAGGAATTTGTCCATTTTTTTTATCTGTGAACATAGGAGCATGTCAAATTTGATGTTAACATATAATAGACAAATAAGGATGATTTTGAATGCGTTTGACTTGTTTCATGTCATCTTGATTTCATACTTCCCTAGTCATTTTATACTATTTGTTTTCATTTTGTTGCATGCTCTTTTGTGTTTTAGCTACTTGTTTCTACTTTACATGATAAGCTCATTGTCTGATATCTTATATTTCATTGTAAAAAAATTCAGGGCATTGGATTCCTTAATGATCCACGCAGGCTAAATGTCGCACTTACACGAGCTCGTTATGGTATTGTTATCTTGGGGAATCCTAAAGTTTTGAGCAAACAGCCATTGTGGAATAGCTTATTGACTCACTACAAGGTGCCTATCTCTTGTTTCTTGCATGTAACTTGGGCTCTTGTTTGTTAAATTGCTGGCCTGTTTTGAAGTCGCATGATTGGTAGGATTAGAGTTGTTTGACCAGTGAAGTTTGCCCAACTAAGGTTGTGGCATGTTGAGTGAAAGGTTATTCTGGAAAACATCATACCCCTTAGTCATTGATTGGGAGAAACTTCCTTAATCCATTATTGCACAAAGTGGGTTTGGCAGTTGGAAAATTCCTGTAGTGGCCACCACCTTATTGGAATCAACATAATCAACTGGGGAGTAACAGGTGATACATTTGGCCAAGGCCTAAGTTGGTTTCTTGGTTGTCTTACCCGTTGTAGTTATATGCTATGATCCACTTATTTGAGTTTGCTTGTAAGTTATTGCTACCTTTTACTGTTCTATACCAACCATTTGTAAAGGCCAGAGAAGTCAAGAAAATCATATTGGCCTTTTCAAATGGTTGTTGTTAGAACAGGAAAAGGTAGCAATAGCTTACATGGCCAATATGATTTGGAACACTCTGCAGTTGGCCTAATTGTTTTTTCTTTTTTTTTGGACTATGTTTTTTTTTTCTTTTTTCTCAGTGTATCTGTCTTTTGTTCCGCTCCCTTTTGTTGCTTTGCTTTCTAGTGATATGTCATCACTATCAGATGTACTTCTTTCTTCTACTAATAAATTTTCTTTTTTTGTTTACTACCAAGAATAGACATTTTCTTGACTTCTTTGGCTTTTGATGTGGATTTTTATCTAGTTAGCATTCATGAAGATACTTGGTTGTGTTGTGCACTTGACATTCCAGTTTACTTGATTAAACTATTTTATGTTATGTTTGCATAGTTTTGTCTTAGGCTTTTCTAGTGAACTAGTTTGTATATTTGATCATTTGTTGAATATTTCATTTTAGGAACATGATTGCTTGGTGGAAGGACCTTTGAATAACCTGAAGCAGAGTATGGTTCAGTTTCAAAAGCCAAAGAAGGTATTGTGTGTTTCAGATAGGCTTGCTTGCATTGTTAGCAATAATACGATAATGGTGAAATGTTTGAGAATTGTGTATTCTAAGGTCTCCATGTGAAACAGATCTACAATGATCGAAGACTTTTCTTTGGAGGTGGCCCAGGGATTGTTCCAAATGATAATTTTGGGACTATTGTATCTTCTAGCCCAAATGCTGATAAAAGAGGCAACCGCTCTAAAGGTATGCAATTTGTTCTAAATTGTCTATCACTGCAACCACAACGATTTGATGACTTTAAATGCTTATTCATGCTATAGTTGATACTGTGGCTCAACTAAAGAATGTATAAAATCAGAAAGCATTTGTTTTCTGCTGCTATTTTATGTTGGAGTTGTTACTCTAACAAGTATTTGTGCTGTGCATCTGAACTGTATTATTATGGTTCAACAAACAATTTGACAGCTTCATCTCCTTTAATCCAGGTTCTTATATGCCATTTGGTGCACCCAATGGTACCCATAAGCCTGGTGTGCACCCAGCAGGATTTCCTGTGCCGCGAATTCCTCTTCCACCATTTCCGGCTGGTCCCCATTCACAGCCTTATGCAATTCCAACTCGTGGAGCTGTTCATGGTCCTATTGGAGCTGTTCCACAGGTCCCTCAAGCAGGTAGCAGGGGTTTTGGATCTGGGCGTGGTAATGCTGGTGGTCCTATTGGTGGTCACCTCTCACATCAGCAAGGTTCCCAGCAAAACATTGGGAGCGTTGGCTCTAATTTCAATTTTCCTTCTCTGGACAATCCAAATAGTCAGCCATCTGTTGGAGGTCCCTTATCTCAGACTGGGCTTATGACTCAGGTTCATAACCATTCTTTTCTACTTTTTTTTTGTTCCATGTTGAGATGGTGATGTTCTAAAACTTTCTTATTATACTTAATAGATGCCGGTTCAAGGGCTAAGCCAGACATTCCGTGATGGGTTTTCTATTGGAGGCATGTCTCAGGTATCAAATTCAGTATAGGTTTCTAAGTTTCTTATATATGAATTACCTAATTAGTTTTTTTTTCCTGAGAATAAACTTTTATATGGCAATTGACTAGGATTTCTTGGGAGATGACTTCAAAAGTCAGGGGTCACATGTTGCTTATAATGTTGCAGACTTCTCCACCCAGGTAAACAAGTTCCAAGTTTTTTTAGTTGTTTCCATGAAAGCTGGATTTCTACTAGGCACATTGTTCTTATTCTGTTTAACACATTACCGTTTTATTAACATGAATATAGGATTAACAGTGGGAGCTGCAGGGTTACCTAGTTTCCATCAAGTTTCTGTGAAAGCCTAGTTGATAGGGGCACTTTTGTCCTTATTCACTATGGTTTTTAGTCTATTTGTTCAAACTTCTTCTTAAGGGTATCATTGTAATTTCTGTCATCTTTTGGAAGCTGAATATTACTTGGGTCGACAGTAAGATAGTTCAGATTGATTCTCTCTCTCTCTCTCTCTCTCTCCTTAAAACCCTTTTTATCTTCTCTTCTTTTCTTCTCTATTTTGTCTATCAACTGAACCTTTCTACTGTGATTTTCTTTCTTTTTCTTTCACCCTTTTTAACTTTTCTTCTAAGTTAATGTGGTATCAGAGCTCCAGGTTTCGTTCTGACCTGGTCTGAATGTCATTTCGGCCTCTCTAGAGAACTCCTACTCTTTCAAGGAAAAGGACTGCAAAGGACTGAATACCCTCTAAGTAAAGAGGCTTTAACGCCTCAAGTTGCAACAGGTTGCGAGTTTCTGGAGGTCTTATAAGCTCCCTTCTAATTGGCAGTTCAAAGAAGGGTTGTGTTTGGGGTTTTGAATGGTTGGAGTAAGTTTCCATCACTTTGTGGTGATTGTGTGGGATATTTTTTGTAGTGTGGCAGTTGAGTTGTGTGATTATAGGGTCAGCTGGTAAGTTTAACCATTAGCTCATTCTCTTAGACTTTTGACTACATCAATAAGTGGTTCCAAATTTGTAGTTATTTATGAACATCCTACCGACTACTGTCAAGCTCAATGGTGCACTTTGTGTATCATGGGCTAAATCGGTTGAGGTTTCTCTGATTGGTCAAGGCAAATTGAAATATATTAAGGAAAAACAACCCAAGCGTGGGTTTGAAGGATATAGTGAGTGGGTGCAAGAAAACACACAAATTATGACTTCATTGTGGAACACTATGGAAAATCACACGTGTTAATCTTATGTTTTTGTATACAACAAAAGAGATTTGTTGTCGTAGTACTGGGAGGGAAGGAGGAGGTAGTGGCAGTAGTAGTAGTGGACGTGGTCAGGTCTGTGTGTGTTCCCATTGTTGCTGAGAAGGTCATACAGTCAATTTTTGTTTTGCCTTGCATGGCCCACATTCTTCTTAGGCTAACCATGCCCTGGTAGAAAAAGACACTAGCAACAATGTTCCTATTGATGAATTGCCTATGTATAGGAGTGGGTAAGGATAGGGAGTTGGTTTCCATTACCCATGAAGAGTAAGAACGGCTTCGTTATCTTCTTGTAGGACTATTGCTACCCTTGTCAATTTAGGTACAACTTGTCTTGCTTCTGGTTCTAAATCTACACCTTGGATAATTGACTTTGGAGCTTCAGATCATATGACTCGAACTTCAGTTTTGTTCGTCTTTGTCCCCTCCTACCTCTTAGTTTGTAACTTTAGCTGATGGGTCATCCTCAGTTATAGGAATTGGTAATGTTTCTCTTGGTTCTGACCTTCATTTAACTAAAGTTTATGTTTCAAAATTTCCTTTTAGCCTTTTGTTTGTAAGCAGGCTGACTTAATATGTTAATTGTTCTGTAACCTTTTTATCCATCCTATTGTGTTTTTCAAGATCTTATGACGGGGAAGATGATTGCTAGAGGTTGTGAAGATGGAGGGTAGACCTGTTCAGGGGCCAGGCCGAGCTTTGCCTATGTATCAATAGAATACAATCAGGCCCAAGTCCGGCCCAGCCCGGCCATTGTGCCTAGGTCTTGAGCCTGAGCCCGAGCCCGAGCCCGACCAGAAATTTGAAAATAATTTTTCTTTTTTATTTAATAAAAATTGTTTTATTTATATTAAAAACCCTTAAAACTCAAAAATAATAATAAATCTCACTATTACTTGAAAAAAAAGAGGAACAAAGAAAAAAAATATTGTATCAATTTTTTAAAAGTGCAAGGGCCAATTTGTGCCTGATGTGCAAGGCGCAAGGCGAGGCACACACAAAATTACAAAATAAAAGCTAAAAACTAAACACAATGTTGGAAAATTCAAAACAATGCTAAAAAATTAAAAAAATGCAAAAAATCCAAAAATATTAAACATAATGTTAATAAAAAATATAAACTTAAATTTTAAAATAAATGTTTTAAAAAACCTATTATCTAAAACTAAAATATTATAAACATGTAAAGCGTATTCAAATGAAAATTTAAAAATAAAAGCTAACATATAAAGAATTTCCAAGCATGTAAAACCCACAATCTCTTTTTTTTCCTCAATTGCATTACTTCAAGTAGTTAATGTTATATAAAACATATTGCATTATTGATTCTAGGAGTCGCCTTTTACCACACCCTTTGAGGTAAGCCCGAACAAGTCCATGTTAGGGTCTTAAATTCTTATTTTCTCACATAAAAACTAATGATTTTATAATTTTAATTCCCTTTTAAAAAGATATTTTATTGGAATGAATGAATGAACAACAAATAGGGGGTCCTAAATAGGGGTGTAAACAGATTGAATTCGAATCGGATCAGGCAATATCCGAATTCGAATCCGATTAGAAAATCCGATATCCGATGGATATTAAAAATTAATATTCGAATTCGAATCTGATTAAATATTTGAATATGGTTCGAATTTGATTAATTAATTATTTTAGATAATTAATAAATATATAAAATAAATATTTTATTAATATAAAGTATATAAATATATAAATTATTTATATAACTTAATTATTATATATAACTTATATAAAAGATTTTATATATTATATATAAGAATTAAATAATTGGTCGAATTCGGATATTTATCGAATCGAATCAGGTCATATCTGAATTCGAATCCGATTAACTATTCGGTCCTGGTTTTTTTGAGAAAGCCTGAGCCCAGCCTTAAAAAAGGTCGGAACTGGTGTTTTTAGGCCCGAGCCTGAGCCCGCATGCCTAAAATTATGTCCAAGCCCAACTTAGAAAGGGCCAAGCTGGGCCCATACTCTAGAGAGCGGCGAAACTCCTCGATAGTTGCATAGTGGCCCCAGTGGATATCTTTGTAGTATTTGCTCCGCCTCTCTTCGAGTTGAGGAGTCAGCTCCTGCATCTCGCTGATTAGGTTGGCAATGGTGCCCTTTACCGCCTCCAACTCGCGGGTCAGGTCAGCGTTTGTGCTGTTGAATCGTCGACGATCCTCCTCGGCACTGAGACGAGCTCCCTCTAGCTGTGACCTAAGGGACTCCATATTGGCCCTCAAATTTTTTGTGTCGTGCTCAGTGTTGGCGACCCAATCCAATAGAATTTGGCCCATGGAGTTAGCTTGCAAATAACAGAAGCAGTGCGGTTAGAACTGATAGGAGATATTTGCAAGCATCCGATGTGGAGATACACATTGAGAAGATGTGTCTGATCATCCTTGTGCCAATCTCAGCAGACTCCTGCTCTACATAAGACCGAACATCCTCAGGAAGGAGGATTCCCTTTCCCACTTGAAGGGCAATGCAGGGGTCCCAAATCTGATTGGTGGTGGTCACACACCACTAAGGAATGATGGGAGGAGCATGCGAATTGGAGGCATCGATTGTAGGGTCAGGCACAAGGACGTGTGGCATCGACAACTGAGCAGTTGGATCTGGTATGCCTTAGGATGGATCGACATACATGGGGGTCTCTGCCCATCTTGAGATCTACCACCTTGTGCTCAACCGATCTCCTGCCAGTAGACCTGCCGTCAGTTGACCCCTGTTTCATGGCAGACGTGCCAGCAGAATCTTCGACCCTCCTCTTCTTCTTGGAGGGCCTCTTAGTAGCAGCTAAAATGGACGAAGTGCTAGACATGTTTGCCGCAGAAGTAAGAAAAATCAGTGGAAGTCGTAAAACACATCAGACCACAAAAACATTGTTGAACCTCGTTCGACAATGCCTCGTCGAACTCGACCTCCAGGACCTTTTTCGGTTCAGTCCTCTAGGTAGTGTCCATAGGCAAATCATTCTCCTGGGACAAGTAGTATGTTGTATTCCAGTGCTCCACCTTAATAGGGAAGCCACCTAGGAGCTTGTAGCCAGGTCGGTAACTCAGGTAAAAACAATAGGGTTCATTGGGCATTCTCTTTATTTGACAGAGCCTCGAGAAGATGTCTATGTTCAAATGAGAATCGAGGTGGTGGCAAATGGAGATGGTCCCGGTGATGGATCTAATGGAGTTGGGGTGAAGTAGACCTAAGGAGATGTCAAAATATCTCAGCACCTTGAAGATGAAGGGGTGGAGAGGAAAACAAAGTCCGACAATCAATGCATCCCTGCCTCGTTCAGTCAAGAAAAGTTTTCCATGTGTCCTTGATATACTCTGGTATTTGTCTTGTTTTTGTATTAAAAAGTTAGTAGTTTGAACTACTAATGTTGGTTGTGGGAGATGCCATTGCAAAGTTACAAACATGATTTAGGCTGGGATTTGAAGACAAGGACAATCCATAGGGCATAGGGTCCATGTTATATATCATACATTGTGATCTATGGGGTGTCATGTAATGGCATGTATTGTAATTATTTTAGTATATGAGTAAATAGGCAGTTATTTTGAGTGGGCATTAAAGTAGGATTAGGAATTTGGTATGGTTGAAAGAGTGATAATAGGAAGCAGTTATGTGAAGGGGCCTGCATGCATGTATGGTTTTTCGTGTAACATGGATAGTTATTGAGTGGCAGTAGGAACTCTCTCATCACGTTGGAGTCTATTGCATCTATTTAGTCATGAATTAGAGGAGAGGTCTGAAAGTATTTTGAGAATTTGATTCCAAGGAGTTTTTGGAGGCGGGGTTCCCTTGAAGAAACCCAAGTTCAGTTTTTTCTTATTTTCCTTTGCTCATCTCATACACATTTCAGTTTTATAAAAAAAAATACCCATTTCAGTTCTCTCCATTCAGTAGGTCCATGACATGATGACATACTAGCTGGGAGACTTCTTTGGTTGAGCATATCAAAAGCCAGGTGGCTTAAATGTTATAGATCATGTAGTGACTTTACCTGATTACGAAACATTTTGTGAAAATATACACAACGCTTACATAGTTTCCTGCAGTAGGGTGGGATGTTTGGATTAGATGCTGAATAGGTCAATGTCAACAAGTTACAGTCATGAATTGGAGTATAGCTGTACTGGCACTTGGGGATAACCACTGTCTGTAAGCTTCCACGTCTTAGTTGCATTGGGCGTTATCTAAACCCTCTTTCTGTTGACAACTGTTAATCCATACATTGTAGCTAAAGAGAGTTGTTTCCTTGTATCTGCCTCTTGAATTTATCTGGGCAATTCTGCCATTTCAGTTTTAAAAGTAACATGGTTTATGTTTGTTGCTTAGGTTTCTCAAAGTGGGTATGGTGTTGATTATGTTACCCAAGGAGCACAAGGTGGGTTTCCAGGAAGCTTTCTAAACCAGAATTCACAGGCTGGATACTCTCATTTGGGTACTGGAAACGATTTCATATCTCAGGTTTGTTTATTATTTGATTGTCAATTACCTTTTGTATTGCAACTTCTTTTTTTTTTGTTTGTTTTACTTGCTTATTGTTTCCTCTTCAGGATTACATGCCTCATGGATCACAAGGTCTATTTACTCAGGTTGGGTTTAACGACCCATCACAAGAAGATACTTCTCAGGCACATTTTGGTGTCGGTGGTCCTAATCCACTTCAATCACAGGTTTTATCTGGCAGAAACCGTGATGAATGCTTGGTCTCTGTGGAATAATTTTAATGGCTAACATTGTTTTTACTACTACAGGGCTTGATGAATCCTCTCTACTCACAACCTTTCACCCAGTATAACACACAGCCACTCAACCTGCAGAATCCACAGCAGCCACAATCACAGCAGCAGCAACCACAGCAGGGCCAGGGCTCACATAACCAGAAGCTCCACTACAATGGCTGAGAGGCCTTGGGGCCTAACTTTGTTGGGTTATACACTTTGCATCCAGCAACTTGGTTGTACTGACATGTCTGTCATTTCTCTGCACTCTGTTGTGTATTGGCGTGCAGAAGAGATCAATATTTTGAGGTCGTTTGCTTCCCTCTATAGCACTTACTAGCTGGTACTGGAATGGCTGGAGTTGGGAATTTTGAGTTGGCAAATGGCAATGGGTCTCTGAGCGACATGGGCGGCACAGCCGAAGCTGAGAAAAAGGATAACCCCAGTTCCCCCACTAAGTTTTCTATTGTTTTGGGAAAAGTAACCATTTGAAGGAGGGAGCATCACATGGCATATATTGTCGCAGGGTATGGGTCTGGATTCCTCTTGCATGTAAAAATGGCAAGCTGCTTGGAGTTTAAAATATACAAGTATATAGATGTATACAGGGAAAGCGGAATGGGACCTCTGGAGTCTGGAGGAAGCAGAGAGCTACTTTTTGGCCTCTCGAGCCTCCCACGTCGAAACACAGTTCTGACTGCAATTGCAAGTTTTGTACAGCCACGGGGTAGCCCCACCCTATGTCCCTATCAGATCTTTCGGATGTATTTGCTAAGGATTTGACTCCCTTTGGAATGTCGGGATGGTTGATGCTTATAATTTAAAGTTGTTTAATGGGGCAGAGTCACTGCAACCCATAGAATTGGATTCAAAAGTTTGTGCTGTACAATTTTATATATATATATATATATATATATATATATATATATATATATGTATTACAGTTACGATACTAATTTCAAGTTGTGGGTTTTAAGTAGTTTTAAGTAAATGGAAAAATTCATTAATCAAAACAAAAACAAGTACACCCAATACACTTAAAACACACGCACACAAACTATCCATATTATACTTGAACAGAAAAAAACTCATCACAGGTTTATAATTCTAGCACAGTAGCACCTCCCAAAACCTTTCACCTAAATCTTCCTTTTTGATCTTAGCAAATGCTGGGTGCACCGTTAAACTGCCAAAGGAATACAGATCCATAGCTAGCATAGCCTTGGTACAACCTTTGAACTTCGGCTTCATAAAGAAAATCCTTGCAAGGGAACCAGGTTGGATGGAATGAACAAGTGACCTACGGATTCCTTTTGCTCTCCGCATAAATGGCACATGCCAGCAAGACTGAATTCTCTATTCCTAGTTGGCACACTGTCCATAGCAATGAGCCACACCAAATGGTTCTTGCACAAGGCTTAGTGGCAAGATTTGACTGTATATTTGCCATTAGAGTATTCCTTCCACCAGTCTTGCCCCTCCAACTTTTCCACCAAGTTAATACATATGCTTTCACCTCTCCTTAAAGCAAATGTCTCCTGAACATTGGACACCAGACCCGTTGATCCCCATGTCTCTCAAAGTACTGACTAATGGTGATCTTATGCTCAGGGAGTCTGTGCAGCCTTGGACCACCTCTATCAGCTTATCCACCCAACTCCAATCATCTTCCCAAAACCTTTTCCTCTCCACTTTGCCATACATAAGTCCCATAAGAAGCTCTGGCCTCCCTTAATTCCCATCCAAAATCCAGTCACCCCATATTTCCCCATCATCATTCTCCTTCACAACGACTGACTCTCCAGCCCAAACACCTCCCACTCCCCCCCGTAGAAAATCCTTTTGACGTTCTTTTCACGTTTTTTAGCAATTTCAGATGGGACCTTTACTAGAGACAAATAATATGTTGGAAAACTTGACAGTACACTTCTAAGAGTGATTCTACCTCACAATGACATCCCAATGGCAAATATAATTGCTTTCCAGATATTAGAAGAAGAGGACTTTGCCTCCACCGGTTGACCCAAATAATAAAAAGGGACATTACCAATTTTGCATTCAAAGACATCTACACAATCTGTCGGCACCTCCCTTCTCACCTCACTAGCTCCAATCAGCTTACTCTTAGATAGATTCACCTTTAAACTATTTAACAGCTCAATTTTTTTTGATCAATAAATCAACCTTTTATTAATTAATATAATGGAAGATACAATACTTTAAATACAGATGGATTGTGAGAGATAAAACCTCTTATCTCTCCCCCTACAAACAGGTCCCTTGCAGTTGTGCCTAGAAAAAAGAATCTCTCTCCACCACTTGTTTAGAGGCATCTGATACAGAATTAGCATATCTTTTAATCCACCCAACCACTATTTCCATATCTCTGGTTAGCCACCTGATCTTCTTCCTTTCATTGTTGAAAACCCACAGTTCTGATCCCCCATTTCGTAACCAGCTAATCACCTGTTTGGAGTCTCCTTCCACAAATAGCTTTTGGATGTTCAATTGCTTTGCCTTTTGAATGCCTTCCACCACTTCCAACTCTTCTGCTCTCAGGGAGTCTCATTCTCCAACTGGCCCCGAAAACATAGCGATGAATTTGGCCTCCTCATCTCTAAAAATACCTCCAATACCTGAAGGTCCAGGATTCCTCGAGCTGCTATCATCAAAGTTAAGCTTGATAAAACCTCTGTGTGGAGGTGACCAAATATGATTTATAATTGTCTTATGGGCTGTAGAATCCTCTACTTCCTTCCAGCTTCTTTTTTTTTTTTGATCAATAACATCAATTTCATTAAATTAAGAAAATAGAGGAAAAGGAATACAAAGGGAGATAAAATAACTTAGCTCCCCAAAAACAGAAAACTCAGGGAAAGCAAAGAAAATTAAAAACTAGCCCRGAAAACARCCTCCCTATTCACTCCTTGCTTGGCCAACCCATCCGCAAATGAGTTGGCACTCCTCTTCACCCAGCTGTACTGAATCTCTATGTCCCTACCCAACCATAAGAAATGTTTTTTCTCATTGTTAAAGTTCCACAAACCACTGTCCTCTGTCTTCAACCAATTAATCACCACCTTCGAGTCAGCTTCTAGAATCAAACGGCTGATATTTAGATCTTTTGCTCTTCGAATTCCTTCAAGCGCTGCAAGGATCTCAGCCCTAAGAGAGTCACCTTCTCCAATAGGGCCAGAGAATAAA